TCAAATGAAAGAGATTATTCTTGGATGATTCACATTGCTCAAGATCGAAGAGCAACATGAAATGAAGCAGTGGAAAAATGATTGTATCCATATTTGAATATAGATTTTGATTGCATTGATTTTCGACAATTCGTTGCCAAGATTCATTCGTAGTTTCGACAATCGAAAAGAATGAGTCGACGAGTAGCTGTTTATGGTTGTACTCTAATGTCTCCAGTAAATATCGATTACCATCGATCCGAATACGTGAGCGCATGCGAGGATGTCGTTTGAGTAAATATTGTAGAACTTGAGAAATGTTCTGAGTCAGTATTGAAGAATCACCAGTTAAATGTGCAACATGCGCAATGGTCACCCAACCACCATGTGCACAAAAAATCTTTTCAACACCATTCATCTCCGTTGTGGAGGCAACTTTCATCGACATTTCCCTAACGTGTGCTTTAGTAATAACTATGTTATTTCGAAATTGTTATTCTGTCTAAGCAAATGACAACCACGATGCCTAGTTTTTTTTCTTTTCTGTTTTATTAACATTGAGAGAAAAAAAAGACTGCACTTACACAGTAAGCTGTCAGAGTGACGTAAGTAAAGCTTACACTATAAAGAGCTTTTTCTTGTTTGAATTCACTCTACTATTCGGTTTGAGTTTCTAATCTATTGGGTTAGATTGAACTCTGCATTGAATGATGCTGTTTTGAACGTCGGCCATAGGGCGAAAATTATCTCTGATATCCGCAATTCAGCTACTTTAGAATATGTTTTGGAGTATTGACTGGGGTGTGGGTGTGCATAGGAATAAAGAGAAGACAAAATCCACATCCACATCGTGCTATTTCTTATAATGCATTATATATATGATAAATATTATAATAATCAGAAATGTCTGCATAACATCTGTTCTTTATCAATGAAAATCAAATATTTCAGGAAGAGAAAAAAAAATTAGCCATTCATCATTGGCTAACATGACTATATCAATATCATTCTCGCAGATTTCAATGCGAAAAATCAAAACATGTATATCTAAGGAGAAAGAGATTGAACGTAAAAATAAATATGAATTAAATATGAACATAAACAGTTTCAACAACTTCATTTTTTAATGTATCATCAAAAAATGGTGTATTTTTAACTCGAACTAAATGAAGAATCAACGTGGAAAATTTTGATGAGCGTCTTTATCTTTTTGATGAACACCTCCGATATTTGTCTCCGTTGGTCATCCGTATAATGAGTTACTAATTCATCATCGAATATACGTAGATTATAGAATAAGTATAAGTGTAATCATGAAGCATAAATAAATCTATCTTTGAAATCTAATGATTATTTCGTTATTTTTTTTCCTTTGTGAAAAAGCTTCTTAACTCGAAAAGCTTCTCTCTAATAAGAAACGACTCGGCTTCTATTAAGGGTACTCAATTAGACAATGATTTTATCATGAATATGCTACGACTAAAGAATTTTATTTCCAGTATACACACGCATATTTTGAATAATCACATTAAATTTCATCTTCCTTCGAACAATGATATTCTCAACAATTTCATCTTCAGAAGGTACCAACAAAAGGATTCATATGCTTATGATTAACTCATATATATATATATATATATCATAGGATACTGTCATATCTATTGACTTCCGTATCATTTTAATCATTTTATATTTATAACCATTGGTGTTTAAGGTTGTGTGTTTAATAAATTTCTATAACTAATAGATGTTCATTGAAAAATTAATTATTTAAAGTTGTGTCAGAAGACTTACCTTGTTTTTACAAAGTTTATCCGTTACTATTTGTGAGTCACAACAAAATAAGGAACATTCGTCTTCATTTATCATATGTACCCATCTATTCAAACACGATCTTCAAAGGGCACATATTGACAACGTGGAACGGTTTCTTTTCAATAAAAACACTACTTTATCTTGTTTGACGCATCTCGAATAAAAAAAGATATACTATAAGAAAGTAAAATATATTTCTATCATGATAATTGACAGATGACTGGAAAGATTAATGATTGTGTTTTATTTGTATTGGCATAACAACACTTGATAATGTAAAAATACGAAAATAAAAGAAATGAGGAATTAAATAATTGACTATATTCAATATTTGGAAAGTAGTAGACATCCAATCATATTGTTTCAATTGTAACAAGGAGGCTATGTTCCGATTGAAAACAAAATTTAAACCAATTAGTAGAAAAGCATTCGGAATTCGAAACGTGATGAGTTACGTTAATCTCTTGTTTTATTATATTTTTAAATTATGGACGCTTTAAATTATCAAATATCAATAGTGTTAATTAGAAGAAACATTGTTTGATAGTTAAACTCTCACTTTCATCTTCATGCTCCAGATAGTGTCCAAAATTAAAATATGACCAACTCCAATTCGAAGTTGGAATCACTTCTGTATTTGGCACTTTTTTTCATGGCAGTTGGGTGAAGCTCAATTGACTGAAGTAGATCAAGAGTCCGTTAAATCCGAGCTGGGATGGAATCGGAGGAATTGAATTTGATGCATCTGTATCAATTTAGACTTAATTCCTCTAATCGACTCGGTAACTTTTCCAATGGAAATGAGAAACCTTGGGAGTACAACACTGATTTGAAAAGATTTTGCACAACAGTTCAACGTTTTAAAAGAAGATCGATTACAACATATCATTTTTATAGTCACCAATTGCTGCAGAATATTCAAAAAACCTATAGTTGTAGTTGTAGTAGGATTTCGAGAAAAAGGAATGCAGCTTAAGTGCCACATAGCCTGAATTACTGACCTCTCGCAAAGTTTAAAATACACTATGAATTTTATCCTTATGCTATTATGTTTGCATCCTCAATAGAACAGAAACCATAATCAGATATTGCAATACCTAATTAATTAAACTGTTCGTAATCGACAAAGGCAATAAAATGAGAATAATTTTATTTTTTGCATTCCAAATGGCAAACATTTTTCTGTTAATTGGCTTAAGTTTGTTTGGAATTAGGCAATTACGGTTTATCATACATTAATTGCGTTACAATCGAGCTAAGTCGAAGCAAAACATACAAACAGTCGAAATATGCTCAAAATTTGCAAGCATGTTTCTTTTTATTACATAAGATCTTACTTCAACCAACAACAACAAAAAAGATGGGTGTGCGTGTAGGTGAGAATGGCAAGAAAATTCGCACCCATACGCCCGCTCTAGTGCTAGGTGGATGTCAAGAACTTGGCATTAATTTATTCTAATGACGTTAATGCTAATACAAATGTAGTAGCATTTTATAAATAGTAATGCTCACCTAATAATCTTAGAATTGAATCTTTCAAACAGCTCTTTTGATCAGAACTGATGAGTTGGAACTTTCGCAGATCTACATAGAACTCAATATTTACTGATTAATTGATTACAGCTACTTGAGTGTACATAGTCGCTTCCATGAAATAATGATAAAATGAGAATAAATATTTAAATGAGTGAATAGAACAATCTACATGTAAAAAATCTTGGTATAAGTGTACTTTACGTAAACACCTTTGTTTTTGCGATCTTTTTACTTCTAGGGTTTTCTTATTCGCAGAAAACGATAAAACAGCCAAAAATACTCGGCGGTCATCCATCTGGATCCCATTTTGCACCATCGGACAGTTTCAAAAATACTTACGAGGGAACGTTCCCAAGTATGAGTCTCCGTTTTCAATCGGGTCTATGCCACTTTGTAGAGCTCAATAAGTTGATCACGATGGCATAAAGCATTCTTGCCCATATACTGTCTTTGAAGCGCTAGATCAATCTCAATTTGAAAAAAACATCACTGTGAACAGGTCAAAGGTCATCGAAGGAGTTTATCATGTTCAAGAGAATTCTAGAACCTTCTAAGGTGTTCTGGAAGCTTTCATAGAGTACCAGAGGCTATAGAAGATTCCAGAACGCCTTAGAAGGTTCTAGAATTCTCAGGAACATGATAAACTCCTTCGATGACCTTTGATCTTTCACCTGTTTACAGTGATGTTTTTTTCAAATTGGGATTGACCTAGCCCTTCAAAGATAGTATATGGGCAAGAACGCTTTATGCCATCGTGATCAACTTATTGAGCTCTACAAAGTGGCATAGACCCGATTGAAAACGGAGACTCATACTTGGGAACGTTCCCTCGTAAGTATTTTTGAAACTGTCCAATGGTGCAAAATGGTGTCCAGATGGATGACCGCCGAGTATTTTTGGCTGTTTTATCGTTTTCTGCGAATAAGAAAACCCTAAAAGTAAAAAGATCGCAAAAACAAAGGTGTTTACGTAAAGTACACTTATACCGCTAGAAGCCTTAACTTACGTGATCATACACATTTTAGACGAATATTCTTATTTGTAAAGCAAGCACTACGATTGAAAATAAGGAACTCACTCGATATACGACGGTTTAACTGACGAAGTCAACAACGATATCGAGCTGTTTTATTAAAGATTTTATTCTTCTCTACTATCGTATGCAACTTGTTGTTTATTTTATCCATATTTAGCTACCGCTGTCACGATCGCAGTGGAAGGCGATGTTGATACTATGCAAATTATATATTATGATTTAAGAAATCATATTCCCGTTGTTATTATTAGTGTAAGATTGTGAAATTAATTATACATAAGTCTTTTTTTTCATTGTAAACAATTGTTTTTGCCTATAGGGTACTGGTCGTATTGCAGATTTTTTTAGTCGTTAGTTATCGTCTACAAAACATTTTAAAAATGACCGTTATCATGGTACAGTGGTACATGCAGTCGATGAATTGAATGTAACAAATGTCATGCCATTCAGTTTTGAAAATAAAAAACAACAAAAATCAAGAACAACGTAGAAATAATTTTAGAGTCATTGATTTTAATTAGTGAATCTTTTTAGTATTAATATAAATGCTAAGTTTGATGTTGATTTCTCTTCAATAGAGTAAAAATATGTAAATTATTTATTTTTCATCTGTTTCTGTTTTTTTTTCTTTAAGACCTCGTGACCTATTTAAAGACTATAATGAAGAACTTGAAATAGATTTAAAAAATATTCTATATGGAGACAATGATTTGCAAAAGAGAAAAGGTCTAAATTCAAAAATTGCCAAGGAAAAGGATGAAAGAAAACTAACAGATGCACTTAATCAAGTTAGATATTGTCTACAACCAGCTGTTCGTTCTTTAATAACTGTATTCAATTTAAATTCGGCTACTGATTTATCAGATCAAATTTTTGAAAGTATTGATAATTGCAAGTTAATTATTTTTCATATATTTCAGTTCTTTTCGACGATTTTATTTTAGCATTAGAAATATCAAGAGACAATGGAGAAAAACGAAACAGTAAACAAAATAATAATACATTTAATTCAAATAGAAAAAAAAAGAACTTTATGATTGTAGAACCAGTATCATTTCTTGAATTAGCAATGGATTGGGATTGTATTCATGTAGCAAAAGAATTTGTTCTAAAAGATTCATTAGCAAATATTCCGGTATTCACATTTATCTCATCTTTTTTTAAAATATTTTTAATGCTTGTTTTTTTAGAATCTAGAAGAAGCATTTATAAGGGCTTTAGATAAAAATTTACCGGCATTTGTCTATGAATTTCTGAGATTAGGAATCGAACCGGCTGAAGTATTGTTTCCACCAATAAAACTTTCTTCGGGACAATGTCGATATAAAAAAGTTTCTGGAAAGTGTTTATCACGAGGATGTAGTGGTAAGAGATTTATTTAGAAAAACGAATTATTTTCTTTTACAGATAATACATATTTGGTTATTTCTAGAGTAGAGATCAAACTTATATAAAATTTTTTATCAACAGTGATAAAGAAACTAAGACCAAAAAAATTGATACTCTTAAGTCACTTAATAGTGTTCTAAGAAAATCTTATTGGTGATTATATGCATGAACTTTACTTTGAAACAGAAGAAGAAGAAACAAACGATCGAATAAAATGGGGATTAATAAAAAGTTCTATACAATCAAAATCGTTTAATTATGAAGATTTTCATAAAAAGTTTCAATCATATGATGAAATAAGACGAAACGCACAGAAATATATAATGCGTGATTTATTTTTATGGGCTATACTAATGAATTATATTGATATGGCTAAAGTCTTTTTATCTTTTTTGAATTATCGAATATGTTCAGCATGGATTGCAACAAAAATTTAAAAAAATTATCATTCAGTAGCAATTTTGGTGAACTAAAAGATAGTTATAAGAAAAATATTAAATACTTTGAACAATATGCAATCAATTGTCTAGATAAATATGATGATCATGATATAAATCGAGCTTGTAATATTGTTTTACAACAAAATGAACTTTATGGATATGTTACTTGTCTTCAAGTATGTTTGATAATTTTTTCTGACTTCTGAAAAGAAAATAATAGAATTTAATATCTATTAAAGGTTGCTTCGAATGCGAATGATAAATTATTTATTTCAGCACCATCTTGTATAGAAGCTATGATAAATGTTTTGTATGATACACTTTATCCAGAACAAACAAGTAAAACGAATCGATTATCTCTGTTTATTGGTTTTATTTCTCTTGGTATTTTGGCTCCTGAACTTGTTCAATATCGGGAAATGGAAATGGTTAGTAAAATTCCTTTTTAAATAAATAGTAGATATGATTAAGTATGATTTAAGTGGTTTGTAAAATAGATGAAATACTCAGAAAATATTTGGATATGTAGATGAAGATTCGAATAGGTGTTCATTTCATTCGCATCCATATCCATACATCCTTATGGTCATTGTGATTAGCTTCAGTTTGATAAACAGTAATGTTTTTTCACTCTGTGCATAATATTGCAAATTGGCACTTGTTCAATTCTATCGTATTGGAGATTGATTTTTTGAATATGTAATAATTTGTTCTAGTATTTTCTATCTCGTCAACACTACCATATATGGTCTCTATCATCTCATATTTTCATTTCTTTTTATCCGTAAGACCCTGTATTTTCATTTATTGCATAGTTTTCTTCAACAACCTTTTCATTTGATACATCACTTAAAGTTTTAAGCAACTTCTTGATTTTTACTAGGATAAAGAAATTGGTGAATCTCTTAAACCAACGTATGTATATAAGATATAAAAATGCTTAATTATAAACTTTGCTATAATCTTTTGTTTAGTTTGGAACCACATGGTATAAATTATTCTGATCCATATCCACTTGAATATCCTCGTCGTATTAAAGTTATGCCTGTATTAAGTCGATATATATGTCGATCAGAAAACTTTCATTTATGTGTATTGACGAAATACTTTTATCATTTTGCATGTATATAGACAATGATAAAATATATGAAAGAGTACTAATCAATTATTTTTAGGTATTTTATATATTTTTTCTGTTACTTTTCTCCTATTTTCTTCTCTTTAATTTCTCACCACCAACAAATACAAACCCATCAATACATTGGACTGAAATCTTAACAATAATTTTTGTTTCATTTATGTTACTAGAAGAAATTCATTACGTATGTCTTATTGATTAAAATAAAACTATTCTTTATTGATTATGTATTTCTTTTTTTCTCTTATTTTAGTTTTTCAGTCAACATAATTTAACTTTTTTCGGACAATTAAAAGATTATTTTCGTGATTTTTTTAAATCAATATCTACTCTTGCATTTATTCTTTTCTATCTTGAACTAATTCTACGATTTAGATATGCAGATCCCGCAGAAAAATTTGTTGTAGCAAGGTTTGTTGATACAGCTATTATTGATTGTCTAACTTTAGTTTCGATGGTCAAAATCAGCGAAACAAAAAAATCATTAGAGAGAAGTTCTGTTTTTCTTCAAAACCAGAAAATGACAGAGATTTTTAATTCTTACTCAAAACAAGGGCCTCCGATTGCAAAAATATTCTGTTATGTGATAGTAACATAGGTTATTGAAAAACAGTCTTTCACATCATGTATTTTGACATTTTCAGAAAATAGCCTCACATGTCAAGTGAAAAATGATGTCCTTCATTAAAGACCAGACTTCAATCTATCTTTCTATACATTTCTTTCAATTTTCAGTTTTTTTTAAATAAAAATTGAGTCTTATTTCGTCACTGAAAGACTGTAACGAAATTCGTTGTAAATTAATTTCATTTGGTAGTATTAAACTAAGTTAAGTCTAGTTAAATGCTTTCTTTTTTTCTTAAAAGATTTGTAAATTTTCATGAAATTCTATTTTTACTCAAAATAATCATGGCATACGATATTGAAATATGGTGGCTTCGTTGTATATCATTTATTATTGTCATACCATATTTTGGACAGCACCTTGTAGCTATTTGGAAAATGGTATTCAATAAATGTGTTTATTTATTTTGTTTTATTTAGTTTTTGTCATTTTTATAGATTAAGGATCTTTTATTTTTTATGTGCGTTATTGGAGTAGTTATGATTGCATATGGTGTTGCATCGTGTTCATTGGTTTATTATCCAAAAGTGAACAACTTTACAACGGAATCGGGTGGTACTATAGATACTAGTTTTGATGGTCGAAGTGTTTTTCTTCAAATTATATATCCTGTTAATTTTTGTTATACGGAGAATTCGGTACCCAATTAGATGATCTTGATAGTATGCATATTTAAAATGATTATTATATTGTATAGATTGTTCTTCGCTATTGAAAAGGTAATCCAAGTGCTGGATGGTCAATTACAAATCATATATTACTTGCTGCTCATATGTTGTTTGTTAATATTTTACTCATAAATCTACTTATTGCAATGTTTAGGTAAAATGATCTTTTTAATTAGTTTAACTTTTTGGAATCCTATTTTGATTTGTATTTTCTCTTCTAAAAGTAAACAATTTAATCAAGTTTATGAAGAAACACATCAAATTTGGCATTCACAACAATATTTATTAATGCATGAATATTTTGAACGTTCACCATTTATCACACCAATAAGTTTTGCGCTCGATATTTATTGTTTAAGTCGTATGCTCGTCTTCTTTATAAGACAATCAGGAGATTATGACGCTAAAGTATTCAGTAAGCATGATATAATATTTACGTACTTTACGATGCTTTTATTGTTTGATAATATTTATTTTATGTTGCAGAAATGATTGCAAAAGATAAATCTCTTATAACTAATTGGCGTGAATTCGAAAGTGCATCAACATATGATTATGCTCATGATGAGATAAAAGCATTGAAAGCTACATCAACGAAGTAAATTTGAGAGGAAAACATGGATATCTTTTATTTGAAACAATTTTCTTTTCCCGGTCATCAAACGGATTAGATGAATTTCAAGACAATGTATCGAAATTAAATTCAACCATAGACCAAATGGAAATAGAATTTGATGAGGATTGTAAAAGACTTTATTGTTTTACCTTTAATCTAACATGAAATATATCTCTTTTAATAAAAAGTACTAGTCAAATTCAGCGAAATGGAAATGACTAAAGGAAAACAATAAAAAACCTTGAACACTAAATGTTTTAATAATTGTGACTTTCTTCGTGATATTTCATGAAAGATTTTACTACTACTCTAGAGTTTTGATATCGATCTTATTATCGTTGTTCTTAGTTTGCTTGTAGTGTAAGTTTTATATTTTTCTTTCACATAAATATTGTGGGATGCTTTTTTTTAAAACTTGATCTTGATTTCAGTTTCATTTGTCTAATGATTCCTCTTATGGTCTTATATAATTTGGTGTTTAGAATAAAAATAAATGGATATTTTCAAATGTTCATTGAGTGTATACCAATTTAGATGTGGGTATGAGTGCGTGTGTGGTGAGGTATGGATATTCTTTTCAGCCCCATCCCAACACACACCTACACCCGAATCCATAAACTGATCAGTGTTGAAAATCTTATTTTTCTATTTTGGAGTTTCAATAGCTTCTGTGAACTCAATCATCGTCGAATCCGATTCGTCTGGATCCAATTTCAAAGTCACTAAATATCTGTATCGTTTTTTTTCATAGAATCTATCGAGAAAAATAGGGGTACGATGTTGAATGAATCGTCTTAAATGAAGTTTCGAGAGAGAGGACTGCTGTTCTAGATATCATAAAATTCAATGCAATTCATCTACACGATGTTCTATTGCTTTTGGACATTATACTGAAAGTTACTATTCGTTTCCAAATCATGCCGAGAACGTTTACTTGAATAATTCTGAAATTTTAATAGTCACTGACCTTGAAACTTCCCCAATGTGAGACTACTTTAAACATGAATGAAAAATTTTCATCGTCTACGTGATGAGCTTTTATTCATCTATGTCGTGGTCAAAGTTTTCTGGATCTTTCTAGATATCTTTTTTGGAACTATGCCCGCTAGAACTCGTGTTGCTGTATTATGAGCTCGGGCCGATGGTAAAGCAAACTTTTAGTCTTTTAATTTGTATTTCAACACAAAATAGACTTATTCCTCACTTCTTGTTCAGCTGCAACTAAACTTATGAAGCTTCGTACAATGCTTAGAGAAAGAAGAAAGTGTAAAGTCATATCGAATAATTTAGATTAGATTAGGTTTTTCCGCTATTCGATCGATAAAATCGACGCGCAAAGAAGCTCGTAAAACTAAACAATTTGAAAATTTGATGCACATGTTGGAGTATAAAACAAGATCATTAGGTAATACAATCCAGTTCCTTGCTTACCGTGTCGATGAGCATATTTTTCGTACAGTAGAAGCAAAGAAGAAAAAAAAATATTTCTAATTCTAAATCAGATTCATCTTCAGATGAACATTAGGTTGTTTTTTCTTTTTCCTATTAATGTCGCTTATTTTTGTCAAAACATGACCCCTTCATGTTCGAATACACCCTAAGTGTATACTATGATATATATATAAATCTTCTAACAGTATCAGCTTCAACGTTCATATATATATTTTATATTAATATTATTTCGTTATAGCTGGCAAATTTCCGGAAGCCCAAGTTACAGGTGACGAATGTTTAACGACCACATTCAGTATTCTGTCTATGATTTTTGAAAAATTAGTTCAATCTATGTAAAATTGTTTTTGGTTTCAGCTCAAGCCAAAACGTTTTCTTTTAAAACGTTGACAATCAGTAAAAAAAAGTTATGAACTAATAGTATCTATCTCACTGTACTGTACGACAAACGATGTAATCAACCTATTACAAATCTCCAAGAGCACAGTGCAACTTTGGCAGTTGGCTGATACCAAGCTTATCAATAATTTTTCACCATTCTTACTATTCAACATATTAACCTTTCATTCTTTTTATTTGTTATTCGATCAAATAATTATTTTAATCTATTTCCAATTTTATTTGTATTTCATTGTTTGCCATCTCAAACATTTCGCTTTGCACTGAGGGAGTGGGATCACGGAGAACACGACAATTACATATATGAACTGACAGGACGAAAGTACTAACAAAGAAAGTGGTGGACATTGATATTGATGACGGTTAAGAAGAAATGATTGAACGCTCTTTCGAATGTATGACTCAACTTTCAGTTTTTTCGTTTTTGCAACGATAATAGCTAGTTCTGCTTTCAATAGAAGTTACGAAGTGTACGTGGATCTTGAACTTAGCTTACCGAACAGAAGGTCTCCGAAAACCAGCACCTCCCATATTTAAACACATACACCCACACCCAAAATTCAAGCACTATCAGAATCTATAATTACTTTTATATACAATTATTTTCATAGTAATAATAATTTGAAAAGTTCTACAAAGCAGACAGTGTTGGTCCTCGCCAAATGAGTGTACAGTCAGTGTATTGAAACCTTTTTACAATAAACAATGACAAGAGAAAAGATAAATATGTAGGGTTCTATAGGATTACAAGTTCTATCATAATATGTAATTAGTTTTTTTTTGAAATTTATCTTAATAGTGATGACAGATTCGAAAAAGTTAATTGAGAAGATAATAACACAGTCCAGTTCGGAGAATCTGACGTTCAGGATACCCTAATTGTACTCAATTTTTTTGTCCCGCAAATACATTCTAATCAAAGCATATATGTATGTACAAGATGATAGAAAACTTCAAGCACTTTCAGAATTTATAATTTTTTTTTCAAATGTGCTTTTGTACTGACGATATATTTTAAAAGCTGAGTATAAGTATATTTTCCCAGGGATATATATAAAACCATAAATAATCTTGTTTTTTGCTCATTATCTCATGTCAGTACTTCGAATAATTCTAACATTTTATTTTGTATTTCATCAACTTATTTTCTATGTGATATAATTCAGTTTTTTTAATGCTCAATAACCATTTAATACAATAACAATTAGTATTTTATATATATTTTTGTTTTAATTCATCTTGTTAACTAATAATTGATATTTCATTTTCAATAAATGATGCAAGATGTTTTATTATATTAAATTGTTCATCGTTACAAAGTAATCATTTTAATTGATTATCATTTAATAATAAATCTTTAACTAATGGTACATATTCATATGAATATTTTGAAAAGATTATCATTACATACAATATATTAATACAATATACTTGAATTAATATATATCTTAAATAACTTATTATTATTGAAATATTTTCATGTAAAATATTATTACTATTCCAATCTTGATATGTGATTTGTTTTGTTAAAAGTTTTGGGTGGGTGTGGTGTGGCTGTGGCTGTGGGCTGTAGCTGCGTGCGGGTGTGGGTATAGATCATCTGAAAACACCTAAACCGGCACCCATACCCACACCCTCTCAATGTTTTACATAGAAAATAATTTTCACAACTGAGTACTGAAATAGAATTTATATTAAGAATCGCTGTCAGAAATTTTTTAAGCAAACTGTTTCTTTTTCTATCGAATTGCATCAGTATACAAAAACTTCTATGTCATAGAATTAACGGTTCAGATCAAGTTCCACAATAAAATATAAATAACATTTCCAATTTTACGGTTTGTTTTATCATCGAAATATTTCTTTTGAAACTATCGACAATCAGAAAAACCACAGTGAGTTAGTGCAAAAAACGAATGCTATATGGTGGTTGTATGAACTCTAGTCTTCTCTATAATATACTTAAGGTTTCTTCTCACTTTACAACATAAGAAAATATGAACTAACATTATACACAGTGATAGATTGTGTGTTATCATATGCTGATAGATATTAGACAGTATTGACTTACAACTCTCATAATCATCTTCATCTTTAATTATAGGGGCAGTAAGCATACTTTTAGTGTATTAGAATCAAATTGAGGATCAAGGAGTATACCACTTAGCTGATGCGCTAAAAACTAATGAAGTAAACTACTTTTCAAGCTGATCTCTCTAGTAAAGATATTGACTTATTAAATAAAAGTCTCATATAAAATTCTGAATAATCAAAAAGTCAAATCTGATTTCTAGCGTAGAAATATTATTGAGACTCAATTGTCAAAAAGAATCATTTAGTTCGAATTAAGTAATTGGAAAGAATTTTGTATTTGTTTAAATAGAACTTAAAATAAGTAGAGTTAGAATATCGAAACAATTATTTTCTACTTCGTTCAGTTAAGAATATTTTTAGATTATAGATGAAAGATTAAATAAGATCGAAATGATAATTTATGACCTTAGATTCTTATCAAATATGAGTAACGTGTAACATTCAGAAAAGATAATGATATTTTTTTTCGAATTGTAATAACCTGACCTGTGTCATAGAAAACTTGTAGCAGTGATAAATTTCAGCTGAATAACAAAATCTTTTATTCTCAAAGAATAAAATTAATGTTTTTTTTACTTCGAAATAACGAATCTAAGATTTTTTATATTTTCGAGTATCAGTATTTTGGAAAAAAGAAACATTTTCACAAAATAAATTAGACATTGAATCATAAATTATGTAAGTTTAATATTATTATCAATCTCAATTCGAAATTCAAAAATAATTTTGAGCATCAATATTAAGAAATAAAAATTTTTTTCTGAGTTTCTAGCAAAGACATCTTAAAAATAGAAGAATTTCAAATGAAAAGATTATTCACTCGATCTAATTTAATAAAATTATGATATTTCAAATTCAAATTAAAAATTACATTTTCCATTTGAATCTTTATCATGTATACAAGTTTCTAATGTCAATATGAATAAGAAAATGTTTTGTTAAAAATAAAATTTACCATTGATTCACATATAATGAAATTTTGATTGAAGTTATAAATGAATTTTTCTACTTGAAAACTAAAAAATAAAGAGTTTTCCAAGA